AGAGAGGATCATGGGATCCTCACTTGAGAGTTCAGTCACTCTGCCCAGCCCAGTGCATACAATTCTGCTCTAATTGCACATGGACACAGGGTCTTGGGGAGGCCTAGGGCATATAGGCTAGGGAGGAAGGGGCTCTATCTAGGAAGCCACGGGGGAGTCATCATCCACGCTGGGTACAGACCCGGGGGAGTCATCATCATCCACCCTGGGTACAGACCTGGGGGAGTCATCATCCATGCTGGGTACAGACCTGGGGGAGTCATCATCCATGCTGGGTACAGACCTGGGGGAGTCATCATCCATGCTGGGTACAGACCTGGGGGAGTCATCATCCATGCTGGGTACAGACCTGGGGGAGTCATCATCCATGCTGGGTACAGACCTGGGGGAGTCATCATCCATGCTGGGTACAGACCTGGGGGAGTCATCATCCATGCTGGGTACAGACCTGGGGGAGTCATCATCCATGCTGGGTACAGACCTCAGACCCGGGGGAATAATCATCCACGCTGGGTACAGACCCGGGGGAGTCATCATCATCCACGCTGGGTACAGACCTGGGGGAGTCATCATCCACGCTGGGTACAGACCCGGGGGAATCATCATCCACGCTGGGTACAGACCCGGGGGAATCATCATCATCCACCCTGGGTACAGATCCGGGGGAATAATCATCCACGCTGGGTACAGACCCGGGGGAATCATCATCATCCATGCTGGGTACAGACTTTCCAGGGCATCTGCTGTAAGGGCAGCCATGCCTCTGCCCCTAACTCTCACCCATTGCTCTGTAAGTAAGTGTAGTAAACGCAGTGATTCCCAGAGGTGAACTTTGGTGGAACTGCCCTTCAGGTTGTCATTGGAACAGAAGGAATAGGAGACATTGCTCACTGCCCTCATTCCAGGGAGAGAATTCTTGCATCACCAATGTATATGAACAATTCAAACAGATGACAAGAGGGTCATTAAAACATTTCAACAGCACCTGTGGACATGCATGACTCATTATAAATGTTATGAATTTGTGGTGCTAGTTCAGAAAGCACCAACTTTAGGTTCTGTGACCAGTGCTACAAGATGGTTTCCCAGCATCCATGGCCACCCCTTCCACTCTGGCCATCACGAAGTCTCAACTCTTATTTTCCTGGCCTCCCTTGCCACAGAACCCACAGAGCCACTGTTGTGACTAGTGATATGTCTACATGGATGGGGACTACCTTGCTAAGTTTTGTCTTCCTAATCTAAGCCAGCCTGTGGTTGAGAATGCTGTTCCCGGCCTTTTTTAGGGGTGTGGTGTCTAGAGGCCACCATCTTGTGAACAAGAAGCCCAAGCCAAGAGAAAAACAAAATAGCCAGTCCTGACTAGTCCTGTGTTTCTTAGAATGGAGAAAGAGAGCCATCAGCCTGTTCACATTACTGTGACTGGGTATTTCTGAGGTTTATAGGCATCTACACCGGACCATAGTTTGTTGGATTTGGTTTCTAGGCATTAATAATGACTTTGAAGATATCAGAAAGACGTTTTATAGGGAGGAGGGCAGGGTCTCACGTTTTTGCTTTGTTTTGTTGAGGTAAGTTCTCATGTAGACCAGGCTGCCCTTGAACTTGATATGTAGCAGAAGATGCCTTTGACCATCTCATCCTCCTGCTCCTCCCTCCAAGGTGCTGAGAATACTGGTATGTGCCACAATGCCTGGCCTGGTTGGTGCTGGGGATAGAGCCCAGAGCCTCATGCATGCTAGGCACGAACTCTACTGAGGTATTTCCCCAACCAGAGAGAACTATTTGTGTTTGGGTGCAGGTACGTGCAATCTGATGGATATTAATTCTCCACATCCTAAATTACTGAGTGCTTAGGACACATTTTTAAAATTAGAATGGCAGACTGAATGCAGCTCGTCTGGATGTTTGACCCAGAGAACCATGGCAAACCTATAGTATTTGACACAGTGCTGTGCTTATCGGGTATGTCATGACACAGGGAAATAACAGTGTATTGCTGTGTATCAATGTCTGCTTGGCCTCTGTAGTGGTTTGAATGAGAACATTCCTCCATAGGCTTCAAGTATTTGAACACTTTGTCCTCAGTTGGTGGTGCTGTTTGGGGGGAGGGATCATGGACCTTTAGGAGGTGTGGTCGTGCTGGACAGGGGATGGGTTTTGAGAGGATGTGGCTTCCTTCCACTTCTAGTGCAGGCTGCCTCCTGCCACACCTCCCGGCTGTGATGGACTCTTACTCTGGAACCAAAGACCAAATAAATTCTTGCTTCTATAAGTGGCCTCGGTCATGGTGTTTTATTACAGAAACAGAAAAGTGATTAACACAACCTCTAACCACCGTCTTAGCATCCTTGACTTTCTATCTGGGCCAAGGTACAAGGAAACACAAACCCTTTCTCTTCAGCATGTATTTCTGAGAACCACTGTGATACATATTCAGCCTCTTGGAGAGGAGTCTTTAGGCCTTTAAACTCTGGGATCAGCCAACACACTCAGCTCCTTATGGTGGGAGCTTGCTCCTACGTGTATCTGATGGTGTCATCCACAGTCACACCCCCTCCCTCTCAGTTCCTATAGGGAGGAGCCCCCCAAATGTTGCAGGCATCTTGGGTGAACCTCTGGGTATTTGTCTTGATCTTGGTTTTCCCCCAGAAGGAGAGACCAGCCTTGCAAAGCACTGTGAGCAGTGGCAAAATTTAGTCAAAGTTCAATATAAATAAATGAAAATAATACCCATTTTATAGGTTTCCTATGTGACAGCGAGGTGCTACAAACTCTAAATGTAGACATCACCCCTAACCTCACAGTGATGCTCAATGGAGGAGCTGCAGCTTCCAACTCACCAATGAAAGGCAGAGTGGGGTCTGGGGTCAATTTAATAAGCTAAGGAGGAGGATGGCTGCCCAGTCTCCCCCTCACCACGGTGTTGGTACTTGAGATACTCTAGTGGGACCCTCAGGAGTTGAGGGGACATAGTCTAAACATCGTGTGGTCCAGACGTCACAGACTCAGTCACAGGAGTGAAGGAGGTCATGGGAGCTGCAGGGAGTGGGCAAATGCACAGGTGGGCTCCCATGGTCTCTGGGGCAACCACTGCAAAACTTGCGTAGACTAAACAAAAGCACGCCCGACCGAGGACTGAGTGTGTGAACTGTGTACATGAGGCCTTGGGAGGGTGAGTGAGACCCACCCGGAGGCCAGACCACAAGGCTGCTGGGGAGAGGCAGATGCCCATTCATGAAGGAAGTCACAGCAGAACTAGCTCACGCTGCGTGTGTGCTTTGATGGCTGTACACTGCACTGTGGAGACTCGCGGAGAGGAGCACTGTCTCTTCCCACTGTTGATCCAGAGGCCAGGCTTATTTTAGGCTTTTAAAGCAGGTCTGCTCCCCTCCTTGGTATCTGTCTTCGCCATGTGCCAGCATTGGCCGAGCATCCCGTCTCACACCTCCTCTCCCATCGCCCCAACCCCCTCCAACTGTCTTCTCATTTAAAGAAAAACAAGACCATAACGATGAACTGTAAGACTCTCCAAATTATACAGCAGACAAAACAAGTCCTGGGGGAGGCTGCTGGGGAAGGCACTACTGTTAGGAATATAGGTCCTCACTGACACTCAAATCCCAGTTGTAGATGGTGAAAAATACTCCCCAGACACAGACACTTCCATGAGGACCAAGGTTTAGACACTTAGACCCCTGGTGGACCCATGGAGGTCAAAGGCTAATCTGCTGACCCTCCCCAGCTTTTGATGTGGTCATGTACACACTGAAGAGCGTCCATGGACATTAGCAACAGGAAGAAGAGACACAGCCAGCACTGTCCTATCAGCTCAGCTACAGGGGACTGTGACATGAACATTCTAGAATGTAGCGAAGGACATTACACATCAAGACAAGCAGTCAGTACACAGGGCACTGGCCCAGATCGGCGGTTTAAAATGTTGTGCTTCTTGCCTGTCCTTTATTCTTCTCTTCTCTTAGCTTCAAATCAGTTCTTTTCAAAGTAAGCTGTGTTCACCAGTGCAATATCTAAAATCGGCAAAAGTGGAATTGTTTAAACCACAAGAAACAATTCATGTTGTCACCAGAATCAGAGTTTTCTCATTTTTTAAAAAGTCAGAACTAGGAAAAGGAAATCCTTCCTCTCTAGAAGTGGAAGCTGGGTTTGCCAAGTGGAGTGACGAGGCCACGGACGGGCAGAGGGCCTTGAGCTGAATGTGCTCCTGCTAGCCAGGGCCAGTGCTCAGAATCTCAAATGCCTACCCACTGGCTGTGTGACCCCGGAGCTTTGTGAAAGGAGGATCACAGGAATCTCGCCTACACTGCTGTATTTCTTAGAGAGCTTTTCCCTGCTGGGCCTATTATAGGTGCTCGATAAATGTCAGCTGTACCACACTGTCCCCCACCCTTTCTCTGTACCTTTTAGCTATAGAATATCAGTCCGGCTATGCCTGTGTATCTTGACCAAGCACATTAATCAGACAACAGACAGAACTGGCCCAGCCACGTCCAGGTAACTCACAGCCACACAAAAAACAGCTGAAACACCAGATGCAATGAAGTCTGAGAATAATCCCCACCTTGTGTGTGTGTGTGTGTGTGTGTGTGTGTGTGTGTGCGCACGTGCACTCCAGCACACATGTGGGAGGCAGAGGTCAACCTCCTTGGGTACCGTTTCTTAAGAGCAGTCAATCTTGTTTTTTGAGAGAAGGCCTCTCACTAGGACAAATGGCTCACTGATTGGCTAGTTGGCTGGCCAGTGACCCCCAGAGACCCTCCTGTCTCTGCCTCCCCAGGGCTAGGATTACACATCAGTACTGTCACACTTGGCTTTTCCACATGGTTCTGGGGCTCAAACTCAAGTCTTCATGTTTGCACAGACAAGCACTTGACCAGCTGAGTCATCTGCACGGCACTAACTGCCTCCTCTTGATTTTATGATGGATTTGCCAACAACAATATAGCGCCAAGCAAAGGGACTGAGAAAAGCAGACTGACCTGGGGGAGATGTCACATCCTTGCTGCATGAAGGCTCCCAGGGAGAACCACAGACTGTTGAATATCCCAAACTCATTCGACTGGTCACTGGTCGTCTGGTCTCGTCCCTCCTCAAATTCCTCACTGTGCCACTCGTAGGGGCTGAAGCGGCTGACAAGGAAGAGGACGACACTCACGCCGATGTAGGCGAAGACTATGCACATCCAGATCTCATAGGCCAGAGGGTCGAGGAAGGAGAAGACACCCGGCTTGGACTTCTGAGGCTTCTTTATCATGATGGAGATTCCCAGGCTCATGAATGGCTTAGAGAAGTCTATGACCTCTTCTCGGACCAAGGTGATGGTTAAGGGGGCCACCGCCACGTCTGCTCTCTGCCGAAATCAAATCAAAGCACACTTGGTTACGCTCAGCAGCTCTTTTCTACCCTTTCTGCACATTTATGTGTGAATAAGTTCCTATATATTCGTGTTCATGTATGTGCACACATGTGGAAGTATGTGTGGAGGCCAGAGGTTGATGTCAGGTGTCCTCTAGTCCCTCTCCATCTTGTTTTTTGAGATAGGGTCTGCCACTGAACCTGGAACTTGCTGACTGGCTAGACTGACTGGCCAGCGAGCCTCCGGGACCCTCCTGTCTTTGTCTCATCAGTGCTGGGGTTATAGGCAACACCACCCCATCAGGCTTTCTAGGGTAATGGGGATACAAACTCAGGGCCTCAGGCTTGTTTAGGAAGCACTTTACAGATCGAGGCATCTCCCAACCCCTTGATTTTGTATTTACTGTGAACATTCTTTGTCTGGTAGGATGTTAAAATGGGAAAGAACCTTAGAAGCCCAGCTGCTCTGACTGAAATATTTCTGAGTAATCACAATCAGCTCACCATCTTTTTGAAAAAGACTTTATTTCATGTGTATGAATGTTTTCCTGCACGTGTGTTTCCATGAGTGTGCAGTGCCTGCAGAGGGCAGAGGGGCAGAAGAGGGTGCCAGGCCCCCTGAATATGGGCTTTCAGATGGTTGTGAGCCACCATGTGGGTGCTGGAAGCCACCTGGGTCCTCTGCAAGCACAGCCAGGGCTCTTGACCGCTGAGCATCTCTCCGGCCCTCAGCTTTATTTTGCAGGCACATTAGTCTATGTTTTGCTTCTCTATTTGTCAAAGATGCCTTCCTAATTCTCCAAGGAGGCTTGTATTTGGGCCTTCCCAGCAGACTCTGTCTTGTGCCCCATCCCAGCCTTCCAGGTTGAATATGGGCTGATCAGCCTGGTTACATGGGATGCACATATCCCATAGGTACCTACCTACTCAGCACACACTGCTCTGCTATCTGGAGAGAGCTACTCAGGGGTGACTGAGAATTAACCCTGAGAACCAGAGCAAGAGCCTGGGCTGAGCAGCACAGGGACGACCCTGGAGGCCGTCATTTGCATCACACTAAATTCAGAGCTTATCCTGGACTCCCTAGAAATCTGTCAATACATGCTCCTATCTCCAAGAGAACACCCACCAATCTCTTTGTTTGCCTAAGCCAGTTTGAATTGGATTTCTTTTACCCTCAACCAAGATTATCCTGGCTGATGAGGTGGTGAAGGCAAATGGGCCTTATAAACATTTATGGTGCGATTCTGTGTAAGCTCTAGGTGGAAACCGAAGAGAAAATGGTCTCTCACACGCTAGGATTGTACACCGGCAGGAGAGATTAGCATTCTTCCCAACAGAGGCCACGTTTTCCAGTCCACAAGAAGGTGGGATGTGTACCATCCGAGATAGAAAATGCTGCAGGAGGAGGGGGAGGAGGAGGAGGAAGGGGAGGAGGAGGTGTCCATTGGTCTCGTAGAAGAGATAACATGTCAATGTAGCATCAAAGGATGGGAGGACTTTGGGCAGGCTGCTCTGGGAACAGCATTCTAGGAGTAAGGACCAAGGGGGGATGGGCCTGGTGGTGAGAAGGCCAAGTCAATTTTTCTGTTCCTCCAGAAAGATTGCTAAGAGCTACACACATCACTAGGTGTTTGCATTTCAAATCCAGGCTGTGGGTGAGCAGGAAACAGTGCAATTCATCCAGCCCTGGGCATCCAACCTGCAGAGGCACCAGACCTATGTCTTCTGCCCTTCCCACTTCTCTCCAATCACAGAAGCATCGGCATGATGTAGCAAGGACTCACTGCTACGCTGGCCTGAGAGCAACAGGCCCCAGAAACCCCAGAGGCTTCTGTGAATGGATGTTGTAACATCTGCTTCTGAAATGAGATGTATCTGTGCAAGCTGTCCTGGGCAGATGACTTTTTCTCATGATGACGTGCAGCAGTCCAGATGTAAGGTTGGGACAGATGTGTGTGAGGGGCCTGCCATCCCATATGTCTGTCTCCCTCCCTCCCTCCCTCCCTCTGTTGTATGTGGATGTGTGTATAGTATGCATGTATGAATGTATGCATGCATGTCTGTAAAAACACGCTTGTGTAGATATGAGTACAGGCATGTTCATATGTGTATGTGTGTGGAGGACAGAGGTTGATATCAGGAGTCTTTCTCTCTGACTTATATACTGTGGCAGGTCTTCCGTTTGAACCCAGATCTCAGTGATTTGGCTGGTCTAACTACCCAGCTTGCTCTGGGGATCCCCTGTCTGACTCCCTTGTGCACGGATTGGGTCGCCACGCCCACCTGACATTTGTGTAGGTGCTGGAGATCTAAACTCTGATTCTCACGGTAGCACAGTAACGTGCTAAGCCATCTCAGCCTCCACATGCTGTTTCTAGAGATTTCTCATTGTGTTCATTAGCTGGGTCCGTGGAGACAGTGCTTCAAGTGCAATTAAAAAGCCTCAGAACGCCCTGTGTTCGCACTTACAGAAAGAGATCTGTACAGCAATGGGGTCAGGCCTGAATGTCATGATAATTCCATTTTTCCCTGATGTCTACTGCACAAATCTTGATTTGGTTTTTGGCACTGTGCAGATCAAACCCACAGTCTCACACATCTTAAGCAAGTCCTTTCCCACTGAGCTACATCGCCAGTCGGTTTTTTCTTTATGTCTACACCAATGCAAGGGAGCATGTATCTTCTAACTTAAAACAGCAAAGGAAGGGTGAGAAATGTGAGTCACGTGGGGGGTTTGAGAGCAAGCCGCCCCGAGGGTAGATGAAGACCAGCTCTGAGAGTGGTGAGCGTGTTGAATGACTTCCCGATGCTTCTGCTAAGAGTCAGTGAAAGGGATCACAGATAAGGGAATCACGTGGCTACACCACCTTACACTCAGGCCCAGCAGTGCAAGAGGCTGTTCCATGTGCCATTATCATCTCTCTCCAAGATCACATATAGTGAGAATTTCCAAAGGGAGTAAATAGGGTACAGTACTTTCAAAAAATGCTATTTATAGTTAGGCGTGGTGGTGCACACCTTTAATCCCAGCAGGCAGGAGGATCTCTGTGAGTTCAAGGCCAGCCTGGTCTACATGGAGAGTTCCAGGACAGCTGGGGCTACAGGGAGACCCTGTCTCAAAAAGACTAAAAGACATGTGTATTTATTCTTGCTCTGCTGATTTCTCAGGGTCGCTTTCTGTGGCTAAAACAGTGCAGTTACTTGTGGGCACTGAGAAGTCTGGGCATTTCTGAACATTAAAAAGAATTTCTCTACACCAGCGACGTAGGACCAGGGCTCTGAAATCCTGGATGGACTGAAACACACCTCAACTTCTCTCTCTTCTTCTCTCAAGGTCTCTAGGTAGATTCAAGTAAGATGTTAGAATATGCATTCTAGAAAGTTCTCAGGGAGTGCTGCTGCTGGTCCAGGCATCACCCTTCAGTAAACACTGGCTTAAGAGATTCCAACACGGGCTATGTGCTGCCCAGAAGCCACACGGGAACACAGCACACAGCTGGGGGTAGAACAGAAAGAAGCCAGAAGCACAGACAAGTGTCTGGGTGCAGACATGCCCAGAGCTGGACTCTGCTGCCCAACACTCAGACGGCAGCCCAGTGGCAAGGGCTCCCTACACGTTTCGGTAGGTGAGCCCTACAGGACTGCAGTGATTTGCAAGAGCCACACCGTTAGGAGTCTGGCAGACATGGAGATCAATCCCAGGACTCTGTCTTCAGATCTCACTCTCTTCGGCAGAGGACAGGCAAGAAGACCCATGACTGAGGCACAAAAGCCCGTCCACGCAAGGAGCAGCGGCCTCCTGTGCGGCACGTGGCTGGGAGCACTTAGGCCTGACTGGTCCCGGTTCCTCTCAGCTCTGCAGTCCAGGATTCGGGTGGCGTGGTTCCCACAGCAGCAGGATATCCTAGTGAAGACAGAAGGCAGTGCTGCCCGTCCTCACTGCCACTACGTTACTGGCTGTGTGTCCTTCGCCACATCGGCTAACCTCTCTGAGCCTCTGGGTGCTCATCTGTAAGATGTGGAAAATGGTCTTATCTACCTTACAGGGTTGAAGTGAGTAAGCCAAGGTGATGGGCTACTGGATGAACCCCTTCCGCGATCACTGCTGACCAGAGTAAGGAAGAAAAGAGCCATCCCTGTGACCAGCGTTCTTACAGCAGAAGACGGACATTCTTTTTTTTCAGATTTTTTTCAGTGACCCGTCTTTTGACTTTCATTTTTTTAAAATCATTTAAAATTTTTTTTAATAACTACATGATTAGAAGAAGCATTTCACTACAGCTTTAACATATTCAGTAACACACTCCAGAGCAAGAGTACATCTCTTTCACAAATGGGTGCAAGTTTCTAGGTTCACAGTCGAATTAATGCCGTTATACAATATTGAACTCAGTATAAACCCGGTAAGACATAAAATTGAATGAGCTTTAACATTTAAAAAAGATCTCCATTTCATTGTAGAATATATTGTTCCTTGAAGAAAGACTCTTTGTTTTTGCTACTAATACGGAGATGTTGGCACACGCATCTCTAATCTGTATGTATCTGATTATTACTAGTCATAATCGGTTGCACTTGGCTCCTTGGTGCTTGTGTATGTCGATAAAGTCATCGGGTAGATTTCAGTGGTAATGTTATCACCTCTACTAATTAACATGACGTAAATTTCCACGCTTCCTCCTCAAATATAATACATTTTTTAAAAATTTGATTTTTTTTTGGTGTGTGTGTATATCACACAGAACATCCCAAACCATCTCATTCGACTATACACCCACTTCCCAGATGGCACCCTCCCATAGCCTTCCTCCCCCGGGATGGCACCCTCCCTTAGCCTCCCTCCCCCCACTAGAGCCCTTATACTCTGTAATCCCTGCTACCATCCGCTGTGTTGTCGGCACCCCAGCCATTCCCCACTACTTGCCCTTTTGGTGAATCTAGTCAGTCTATCTAGAGGTCTTTGTTTTAGGAGGGTTGGCTATTCCTCATCTA